TTATCCCAGCTAGCGCCTGCATAAAACCATCGTTACTTTATCTCCGTGACATTTCAGTATGCGTAATGTGAATATGCATAACTTATGCCATGTAACCAAACTCCAATAGTGCTTGTGCATGTGCAGTCAGTTGTTAGTTTATTTAATAATATTATGCCCATTTTAAAGGACATACAGTTACTTGACAGAGAAAAAATATTAACTTTGAATAAAAATTAGATCATGGTACGTAATTTGTATTTTAAAAAATATGTAATTTTTATTAAAAATTACGTATTGCTGGGGATTTTTACGCATGCTTTATGATCAATAAAATACACAATCAAAGGAAATTTTAAATACTATTCCAAATAAAATCAATTCCGAAATGTAAAGTAAAAAACAATTCTGAAATGTAAATAAAAATAAATCTGAAAAACTTGTTCTACTGGGCAAGTGTATTAAAAGGGAGAATTTATGGATGTCAATTTCTGGATTTTGAGTAATGTGTTTTTTGGAGTATATTCGTACTCCTCCATTAACCGGTTCATCTGAGTGCGGCATAAAACTAAACCCACTCACTCACTTTGATTAACGAGCCTCCTCTAGAAATCAGCAGTGCAAAAGGTATGTATTACTGCCAAGTAACGAATACCCCCTAAATTATTTCCATCAACATTCGATTGAACTTCCTTCACATCAACTCAATCTTTCAAAACAAATTCAACCAGCTGCATATGTTTTTAACAGCAGCCAACCTCTGTCAATTTTCAAAGTGCAAGAAGCGAACATGTTCACTTGTAGATCTGAGCACTGGTCCACCAAAATCTTGTTATCGCTGACCCAGAGGTCTACATCCGTCGCTGATATTTTCCTAACTCTTCCTTCAGCATTGTCAGAAAACTTCAGTGGTTTATTGATTAGAAAGTAGTATTTATTTATTGACCCCAGAAGTATCATGGTATACGTGGACATATATCTATAAATCAATCAAATTAGTTTTTCTTAATATGTATACACAAATAATTCATATCTTGACCTGCAAATTAATCAACTTCATGGTCAATAAGAACTAGATTGATTCAATAAGTTGGCTTGGTCATCAAACTGAGAAATATCAAAAGCATGAAACTCAAAACTTGTATTATTTTCTTTCACTGTGTTTATTGGTTCTAAATAATAAAAAAATAATATTTTTATCCATCAAGGATGTGGTTTAGTTTGATGAGGAATTATATACAAAGTGTGACTATTCAAAGACAGGTAAAGTTGTCAAGGAGTTGGGTTTTACGACGCTTTTAGCACTATTCCAGCATTATCACGATGAGGGACACCAGAAATGGGCCTCACACTAATCGTGGGGAATCAAACCTGGGTCCTCGGTGTGATGAGCGAATGCTTTACCACTTAGCTAACCCACCACCTGGTCAAGTTTTGAACTCACCCAGTCGATATCATTGTTAAAACAACTCAATAATACTGGTGTAATGGACGTCACTTTTCAAACAATATACTTGCAATTTTTGCTCTAAAAATATACGGAAAAAAGTCACATTGTGATTTGCATATTTTCACCTAATATCTACATGGACATTCATTTACAAATGATATTTCCTGCAGAAAATTTGATGGTTGGTTGGTCTGTTGTTTAACGCCGCACCCAGCAATATTCCAGGTATATCATGTAAATGGCGGCAGTCTGTAAATAATTGAGCCTGGACCAAACAATCCAGTGATCAACAGTATGAGCATCAATCTACGCAATTGGGATATGAACCACCCGATCCCGTTAGTCGCCTCATACGACAAGCATGGGTTGCTGAAGACCAATTCTAACCCGGATTTTTCTTTCTAATTAACTGCAATACAATGTTTCTGCCAATACACAACTCTAAATAGATATTCTTCAGTTTCAGTATTGAATAAATTGGAAGGATAATTTCTATTTTTAAAGATGAAAGTTTCCCTCAAACTGAATTTATTGCCAAAAATTACAACACAAATTTAAACAATTACCATTAAGTTGCAAATAACTGATCAGAAAAGAATATTACTGTTTTCAAAGGTATTCAAAGTTACACAATTTTTTGTTACTTTCCTTCTAAGAATATCAAATTGATTAAACATATCTATTAACTCAACAATGACACCCACAAGTTGCAAATAATTCATAACAAAGAACATGACTCAATTCTTAAAGGTTTTGAAATTTTATAATTACCTTCCTTTCAAATTAGTCAGATGGATTTTACACGCCTCCAAACTTGAAAATGACACCATAAGTTGCTAATAATTGATCAACAAAGAATATTACAAATTCTTAAAGGTATTCAAAGTTACACTATTATATTTTATTGATACTGTTACTTTTAAGTGCAACAGATTGATTTAACATCTCAACAAACAGTATTTTAGTTAAACTACAGCTTCATGAGTGAGTGAGTGAGTTTAGTTTTAGCCACACTCAGCAATATTCCAGCTATATGGTAGCGGCATGTAAATAATCAAGTATAGACCAGACAATCCAGTGATCAACAGCATGAGCATCGATCTGCGCAATTGGGAAATAAGCAATATCACGCAAGGGACACTAGAAATAGGCTTCACACATTGTACCCATGTGGGGAATCAAACCCAGGTCTTCTGTGTGATGAGCAGACACTTTAACCATCAGGTTACCCTACCGGCCCCAATGACGAAAGAGTGAGTATGGTTTTACGCCACTTTGCGCATAATAGCAATATTCCAGCAATATCACAGCAGGTAACATAAGAAATGAGCTTCACACATTGTACCCATGTGGGGTATCAAACCCGGGTCTTCTGTGTGATGAGCAGACACTTTAACCACTAGGCTACCCCAATGAGGGAAGAACGTGAGGGTAAAGATAACCACAACGTAATGAAACCCACAAACTAAGGTAAGGTGCTGACCAACCAGAACTTTAGAGGAAGTCATGGCATTCATCTTACTAAAACACAAATGACTCCCGCATTAGGTAAAACTATGTATCCAATAAATGGGGAAAAAATATATTGTCAAAAATGCAATCATAAAATAAGGATAAATTCATTATCCAGACAATACTGCCTCTCTACACAAAACATGTCACCAGTCTTAATGAAATGTGGTTTGAAATTATACTACATAACAGCTATCCTTGATCACTTAGCAGGCTTATATCATAAAATATTGTGCAACATGTTACAAAGTACAACACTTTGGCATTGTATACTATAGCAGAAAGGTAAGTCACGAAGTGCAAGACTGACTCACATTGTTCATGTTTTAATTAACTCATGGGGATGAAATATAACACTTATTCATCAAGCTCTGATATACACAAAATAAAGCCTCATAACCAAATATATTTAGAGTTGCTTGCGCACAGATACATCTGAGATATTCCAGAAACTCAACACTAAAACTGCGTAATAACCCAATCAAACTCAATACTATAGCTATGTAATAAACCAATCCAATTGCGTACCAGTTTTTTTTACATATCCTTATTTACAAGGATCACGATATAACTAAAACTCCCTTATCGATAATTAGACATGTATGTAAACATTACTTCTAGCGGCACACATATAAATAAATAGTCACTAAAATAGCATTTAAGAAATGTTGTAAAATAGTTCTTTCTCACTACTGTAAAAATACCCTGGCTGGAGTGAGTGAGTGAGCATGGTTTTACACTGCTTTTAGCAATACTCCAGCAATATCACAGCGGGGTAACACCAGAAATGGGCATCACACATTGTACCCATGTGGGGAATTGAACCCGGGCCTCCGGCTTGACGAGCGAATGCTTTAACCACTAGGCCACGCCACTGCCCCACCATGGAACCATGGAAGTTAAAACATAGTAATACCCATTGTGAAATAAAATTTGTCAGTTAACACTCACTGGCTAAAGAATTAACTAGTTCATTGTAATTAATGTATTTGGACTCCCACAAACAAACAAAATTGTGAATAAGATGTTCAATAAATTTTTATAGATAGGAAAAGCAAAGTGATTTCACAATTTGAAAAGATGAACAATAAACAAAACAAAAAAGGTACATCAAATCTTGTTCCTGACTTACGTTTACCAGTAAGACTTCCAATCATTCCAGCCACTTAAATTAATAAAATTATGTTATGTTTATTAAATAAAAACATCATATCTAAAAGCAATTAGGTATGAATTAAATATGGGTTAGGGTTACATAACCACAAACCTAACTCTAACCCAGTCTACAAAAAATAGTTACAGGAACTAATGGCAAGACATTTTCTTTCCAGTTTACCCATATAAATGCACAAAACTAAAGATACATACAGTGTTTTTCGTGTAAAATCAGTGGTTTTCCATCAAATACTAACTACATACTACATATCATGACAGGACATGATAGCATAGAGCCTCTGGTCATGGGTAAGGGTAATGTTATCATATGAACACAGCAAAGAAAAACAGTAGTTGATATTTGGTCACGCACGCAATCACAACTCATTCAGAGTGCCACACCCCTTTAGGGCTGTTCTCATTATTGACAAGTGCGAAAGTTGTACAAGCAGCTATAAATATCCTACTTAAATCCCACCAAACGTACGGTCGGCATATCTGATACATGGCCCAGGCATCGGTATCTAGTGGTGAAAGTTTATAAGTTTCCCTCGCACCGGGCCAGCCTTGTCGAGCTCTGTATGTGTGTACTGCTCTTTGGCAGGTGCCCATCTCTTGCCAGTTAAGTTCAACAGGTGATTATACATTAATCGCACCATAATCACCATACTGGTGGTATTGAATAAAGCCAGACATTATCTAATAAGCATATCAACATGTAAAGCAGACATCTAATATCGAACTAAATGCAGAATATAGCTTGAAATACCTTTGAGATGGACCGACCCATCATGAAAACAGTTTATAATTGCTGACCCGCAATCGCTAGCGTCCTTTCCACGAGCATTTGTCACGTGACCTTGACACCTTTCAAATCAGTTTAAAACGCCAAGTAAATGATTACCTGTGATGTCGACTACAATGTTTTCTTAGGCTTGTAAATGCTGAAAAACTTGGATAAGGGCGATTCACAAACAAGTCTTCCGTCACAACTTCGCCATTACAGTGGTCACGTGACGTCTTTTTCACCAATCGTGACCGTCTGGAGAAGTGATGCCCAAAATAGACTGACGAACATTTCATCTATAGTCCTTTTTCAAAAAGTGCTTTCGTGTGTGCGCGGATAAACTGGACTCGGCGTTCAAATACGCTAAACCATGACGAATCTGTGATAGATGTGATAATCTTATATTTCTCCCTTTGTCTTGTTCGTTCCTTTCTCACCAGTTATGAATCAAGCACATCTTGATACGCTGTCGGTATGAAAGCATTCTCTGTTTGTTTATGAAAAATTAAATGTATTTTTAAATATATTTCTTAACTTAACAGCTGTTTTCATATTTAAGTTTAAGGAAGTGAATAAATGCTCGACTGTGGTGAATATATTTATCGACTGAGTGATTGCATTATATTGCATAAATTAGGTTATTTGTTTTGTCAGTTGTTTAATGCCGCACTCAGCAATATTCAGCTATATGGCGGCGGTCTATAAATAATCGAGTCTGGATCAGACAATCCAGTGACTGACAACATCAGCATCGATCAACGCATATGATGAGATGCTTCTTCTAAGGTCTGTGAGCCTGACCACTCGGTCTCGTTAGTCATCTCCTACGACGTTGAAATAGTAATTAAAAGGACTTGGCTGTCGCGACAGCACGTGGTTCAGATTAAGGATGTATATAGTTCAAATGTCTCTCAACAGTCATGTGCGACTTCCCGCTTCAAGTAAAATTACCTCCCTTGATTCACACTGAACTCCGGTTCGAAGAGGGAATAATTTAAAGGAATGTGATTTATGTTTAATACGAAGATAGTCAAAGATATATTACATCAATGCACTCCCAACCCAATTTTTTTTAACAACCGACAGCTGGTCTCTTCCAGGAACTTCAGATATTCGGTCTTCAAGTAGGCAAGACAGGTTTGCTAGAATCGAACTGGAGTGATCACTAGTGATCTACTAAGCCAAACAGGCACTATGGAAACATGGAGTGGTACAGTGGACAAGATGTTCACTCGCCAGGTCGATGACCGAGGTTCGATTTCCAATGCAAGTACAAAATGATCGACTCTTGAAATTTTGGTTTAAAATAATCGAATATGGACTCGACAATCCAGTGACTTACATCATGAGCATAGATCTACGCAGTTGGATACGATGATAAGTATCATCCAAGTCACATGACCCTCAAGAAAATTCAACTGCATTTTCATACCGCAAAAAGTGTGAAGACGATTTTCTGCGCACCCTGCTGTGTCACGGGGGAAAGGGCGGTGGGGTGGCCAAGTGGTTAAAGCCTTCGCTCATCACGGCAAAGGTCCGGTGTAGATTCCCCACATGGGCACAATATGTGAAGCCAATTTCGGAAAAGGTTCTGCGAAGTCAACACGTTCTTAGCTATGTAAAATAATATATATCACTTACAATAAATATACCGAATAGTTTCATCCTTAAATTCAGACACACCGTAAATCAAATGACTGCAGTATGTGGCGTGGTGCAGGTGTTCCTGTGTTCAATAGACATCCCCAGTAATGTCATCAAGTATAGAGCCTCAGAAGGTCGACATACTTGTAGACAGAACCCAGTCGAATATCTGTGCAATAAAATCTGGTAATATTGACCGTTCTAATATTAGAAACATATACCCATGGGCTGCAAAGCGGCAGTTATTGGTCTCTCACAGCCAACACAACATGTTCAAAGACCGTCCCCAAGATGTAAAATCCCCTATAAATGATATAATCTTCGTGTGTGGTCTCCTAGCCTCGGTTCGATCGATGCCATCACTGTAGGCAAACTTTATAGCATCAACGAGCATCGAACAATCTAGCGCAAATAACATTCGCAGTAGTAATGGCCCAAGACAGCAAACGCCAGTCGCTCGGCCACCGATAATCAATGTTGGTCCAAAGAGCTAGTTTTCTGCTCCTGAAAATGTAGGTTACTCGTTTTCTGTGTCACTGGCAACACGAGAAGTTTTCCCACCCAGAACACAAAGCGAAAACGCAACCCGTTAGGTTATCGGGTGTATTTCGTTACAACCCCACGCAGCTCCATTTACCGTTTGTTGAATTAGAAGGGTATATGATAATTCATAAACACGGATCTATTTTTAGACACTGCGGCGTGTGTACCATTTAGACTTGCACTGGCTCTTATTCATTTCATTCACGGAGAATAGAGCTATAATTAGAACTTCGAAGTATTGACACACGCTGGCATACGTATAGGCAAGGTGAGTGTAAACAGGCCTACCCTTACAGTTGTTATGGCTGAAAGTAAACAGGCCCACCCTCCAGTTGTTGTCGCCGAGAGTGGTATTATAAAGAGTTATGTATTGATAATTTGAGAAGCTGTTCGATATATCTATATATAACCACCTTGACGCTCAAAGTGGGTTCTTTTCAAAATTCAATACCATGAAAAACAGTAAACATGTTTACATTGCATTGATTATTTGCATGAAACGAAATACTCTCATGGCGTACATATGAGAGAGAGAGTGTGTGTGTGACAGAGAGAGATGGGGAGGGAGGGGGGTGTTATTATCCTAAGGTGTTCATTAGGTTAAGGGTTAAGATACCAATAATTATGTAATACGTTTACCTAACATCTCCAAGCAGCTTAAGGATATTCTAAAGATTCCTGCCTGTTGACACACTCACATTATGTGAAGATGGAATATAGCGGAACCAAAGATGGGTGTGTGGTGTGTTGGGGTGATGGCCAGACCGCATTTATCAGACACCAAGACTCGGGTATCGGATGCTGCCTCCCCCACCCTCATCCCGACCTCCACCCCCATCCCCACCCAACCCAAACACATGCACACTCCAACCACCATTTTCCTAGTCCTGGGAGGCGGTGGGATAGCCTAGTGGTTTAAAGCGTTGGCTCGTCACGCCGAAGACCCGGGTTCGAATCCCAACATGGGTACAATGTGTGAAGCCCATTGCTGGTGTCCCCCGCCGTGATGTTGCTGGAATATTGCTAAAAGCGGCGTAAAACCAAAACTCAGTCAGTCAGTCCTAGTCCTGGATTCGCCTCTGCATCTAAGTCACGTTACCCGTATCAGAATCGAACTTGTTTACTCAATACAAACATAACTACACCACGCAGGGCCTTTCAGCACATCCTGACACATTTAATGCTTTGTATATATGAAAAAGAGAAGTGAAATGTTTTTGTTCAAGTTCGTATATCTTTTATGTCAGATCTCACGACAGAACGCCCGACAGACTACGTAAAGCATTGGTATTGTAAGCCACACCGTATCGACCGATGTCAATTTATCAAGCAGGAAACATATACTATATATATATGTGTCTATCGATTCAGAAACAGGCGCGTGGCCGATGTGGGTTGTTTTTGTTTGTTTTGTGTATGTGTGTTGTTTATCGACTTGCAGAGACTCCAGTGTTAGGTTTAAAGAAGTTGTGTTATAGTACGGTGTGTGTACTCTGACTACAGGTTGAAGTGAGAAATTAAACCCTGAATGGGCGATGGACGTTGATTAGTTGAGTGACTTTCAAGCAGGGATACATAGCGCTGATCAAGCAACTGGATTCGAGTAAGTGAGTGAGTTTAGTTTTACGCCGCACTCACCAATATTCCAGCTGTATTGCGAGTCTGTAAATAATTGTCGACCAGACAATCCAGTGATCAACAGCATGAGCATCGGTCTGCGCAACTGGGAACCGATGACATGTGTCAACCAAGTCAGCGAGCCTGACCACCCGATCCCGTTAGTCGCCTCTTACCATAAGCATGGGCTACTGAAGATCAATTCTAACCCGGATCTTCACGGGTCCAATTCTACAGACTGATGTGCCGAACCTACACATTTGAGTGAGTAAATACAGTTTAAGTCGCTTTTAGCATTATTACAGCAATATCACGGACACCAGAAATGGGCGTTATACATTGTACCCATATCGGGGATCGAACCCGGGTCTGCGGTGTGACGAGCGGACGCTTTAAAAACTAAGCTCCCCTTTGACCCTCGCACATTTGAGGAGATAGTAGGTATACTTCCTGAAATGATGATATCAACAACAGAATATCTTGCTGGAAGGTAACTGAAATGAAATAAACCTCCGCCATCGAAATCCAAGATGGCCGCCAAATGTCCTATCGAATCGCCTACTTTGCCTAATATGTAATAGTCATGTTGAATGTGTCTGTCTCCAGTGCATATGTTTATTTCTGCTATCAAGCGGATTCTAATCTTAACTAGAATCTTATGCGCTTAAATTTCCGGGGAAAAACCCAAAGAAACACAAACAGCCGTTAAGTTTCTCACAACTTCGATTTAATGTTGCTCCACATTATCCAGTAAATATATCTCTGCCCACCTTCTCCCACTGGTCTGAACAGATAATGGTACAGCAAGTTTTCCATCCCCCAAAATCAACTTACCTTATTTCTCAATGTTTTATACTGTGACCAGAATAAGCGAAAAATCTCACAATTATTCATCGATACTTTTACCATACGATCATTATCCAAAGTGTGAACCTTTTAATACTCATTTGTAATTCTTTGACTAAACAATATTAGTAGCATGTTCTAGTATATATATTGTTGCATTGACACATATGGGATAGTTCTCTGGCAAGTGGGGCGGTGGGGTAGCCTAGTGGTTAAAGCGTTTGTCACGCCGAAGACCCGGGTTCGATTCCACACATGGGTACAATGTGGTAAGCCAGTTTCTGGTGTCCCCCGCCGTGATATTGCTGGAATATTACTAAAAGCGACGTAAAACCAAACACACTCACTCACTCTCACTCTGGCAAGTGTAAATTAAGCGCCACACTCTGAGAGTCTGGAGTCGAATCCCGGATGGGACTTGTACAGACAAGTACCATAAAGTATTGAGAAAGTGTAATCCCAATAGAACATGTGTGACAGCCTCAAGTTTATTCTACATGGAACTTTTGAACTGGTCCCTTGCAATCCTCGGTTTTGACAACCTTCTACAATTACTGGAGTACAGCACCCATACTAGCCTTACAGTGACCAGCTCTCAGTATGGAACCGACCAGCTTGTGGACCCAACGTAGGCCTTGGGACGGTATTAAAGGGTGAAAGATCCGCTGAGACTTCGGTTTTAGACAAAGACGCCTAACCATGACTCATTACTTTGATCGCTGTCACACATACATTCTTAAAGAAGACATTATCATATACTGGGTATGTTTCTCGGCTGGATAGAGCCATGGGATATAAGCGACATCTGTTGGGGTCATGTACTGATAAATATGCAAATATAGAATGTCAGGTTAGTACAGCTTTCAGTGTTTACAAACAAACATGGCGTCGGCCTTGTGAATCGCCGATCGATTCTTATTGATCTTTGAATCCCAGGACAAATTATTGGGAAAACTGTTATCGGAATCAAACTGACAGTCCATGATACCATGACTCAGTGTCTATAAATAGTGTCCACATAATAATAAAGGCTATTTGCATGCATAGGCAACTCTGGACATACGAAGTAGTGTTAGCGAATATACCAGTCTACAGCTATAGCTGCAAGACCAAGGCCAAGCTCAAGGTCCGGGTTCAGGTCCATGTCCAGGTTTAGGTACAGGTCCAGCTCTAGCTGAAGGTTCATGTTCAGCTTCAGCTTAAGGCACAGCTCAAGTTACAGGTACAGCTCCAGGTCCAGCTGCAGGTCTGGGTCCAAGTTTAGGAACAGGTCCGGGTCTTGCACCAGGTCCAGCTCTAGTTGAAGGTTCATGTCCAGTTCCAGCTCCAACTACAAGTACAGGTCCGAGTCCAGGTCCCTCTCTAGCTCAAGGTTCATGCCAAGGGCCAGCTATAGCTCCAGCTCCAGCTGCAGGTCCGGGTCCAGGTCCAGCTGCAGGTCTGGGTCCAAGTTTAGGAACAGGTCCGGGTCTTGCACCAGGTCCAGCTCTAGTTGAAGGTTCATGTCCAGTTCCAGCTCCAACTACAAGTACAGGTCCGAGTCCAGGTCCCTCTCTAGCTCAAGGTTCATGCCAAGGGCCAGGTATAGCTCCAGCTCCAGCTGCTAGCTCCAGGTTTAGGAACAGGTCCAGTCCAGTCAAGCTTCAGCTCCAACTGCAGGTACAGGTCCGGGTCCAGGTCCAGGTCCAGGTCCAGAGTCGTATATTTAGCAGCCCCTGACAGACATTTCTTCAAACAGCAGAGCAGAGTCAATGTAAAGAGTCAATGTATAGAGTCAATGTGTAGAGTCAATGTGTAGAGTCAATGTATAGAGTCAATGTATAGAGTCAATGTATAGAGTCAATGTATAGAGTCAATGTATAGAGTCAATGTATAGAGTCAATGTATAGAGGCAATGTATAGAGGCAATGTATAGAGTCAATGTATAAAGTCAATGTATAGAGTCAATGTATAGAGACAATGTGTAGAGTCAATGAGTCAATGTATATAAGGCAATGTAGTCAATGTATAAAGTCAATGTATTGAGTCAATGTATAGAGTCAATGTATAGAGAGTCAATGTATAAAGTCAATGTAGGCAATGTATAGAGTCAATGTATAGAGGTCAATGTATAGAGTCAATGTATAATGTATAGAAGCAATGTATAGAGTCAATGTATAGAGTCAATGTATAGAGGCAATGTATAGAGGCAATGTATAGAAAATGTATGACATAGAGGCAATGTATAGAGAGCAATGTGTAGAGGCAATGTATAGCAATGTATATGAGCAATGTATATGAGCAATGCAATGTATAGAGGCAATGTATATAGGCAATGTATAGAGGCAATGTATATAGAGTACAATGTATAGAGTCAAAGTATAGAGGCAATGTATATATAAGCAATGTATAGAGTCAATGTATAGAAGCAATGTATAGAGTCAATGTATAGAGTCAATGTAGGCAATGTATAATGTATGCATAGAGTCAATGTATAGAGGCAATGTTGTATATAAGCAATGTATAGAGTCAATGTATAGAGTGATATAGGCAATGTATCAAGTATCAATGTATAGAGTATAGAATGTATGTATAGAGTCAAATGTATAAGCAATGTATATACAATGTAGGCAATGTATAGAGGCAATGTATGCATATGAGGCAATGTATAGAGGCAATGTATAGAAATGTATGTATAGAGTATAGCAATGTATAGAGGCAATGTATATAGGCAATGTATAGAGTCAATGTATAGAGACAATGTATAGAGTCAATGTATAGAGGCAATGTATAGAGGCAATGTATAGAGTCAATGTATAGAGTCAATGTATAGAGGCAATGTATAGAGGCAATGTATAGAGGCAATGTATAGAGACAATGTATAGAGTCAATGTATAGAGGCAATGTATATAAGCAATGTATAGAGTCAATGTATAGAGAGTCAATGTCAATGTATAGAGGCAATGTATAGAAGCATGTGTATAGAGGCAATGTATAGAGTCAATGTATAGAGGCAATGTATAGAGGCAATGTATAGAGTCAATGTATAGAGCATATAAGCAATGTATAGAGTCAATGTATAGAGACAATGTATATAGGCAATGTATAGAGACAATGTATAGAGGCAATGTATAGAGGCAATGCATACAGTCAATTTATCGAGTCAATTTATAGAGACAATGTATAGAGGCAATGTATATAAGCAATGTATAGAGTCAATGTATAGAGGCAATGTATAGAGGCAATGCATACAGTCAATTTATAGAGTCAATGTATAGAGGTAATGTATAGAGACAATGTATAGAGACAATGTATATAGAGACAATGTATAGAGTCAATATTTAGAGGCAATGTATAGAGGCAATGTATAGAGGCAATTACACGCTTGTGTCTATCGTTTTATTGTACGATCTGAGAGTTAGAACAGTTGCATTCAAGAGAATGAATTCTTTGTGGTGTACACACTCGATTGTCATCATCTGTTTATTTTATATAAATATTTAATGATCAAATGTAATGAGTCAGTATCTCCTACCCTCGGGTCCTAACGGGCTCAACATTAGGTCAACAATAACTGGCTATGATTGTTTGACTATTGTGGTTTCATTAACAATTTAATTTTGGTGTAAACTTCAATGTATGTTCTACATCAACGTTGTGGTAGACCGGAAAGCACTATTACTCGTTTCTATGGAATTATAACCACATGATGTGAGGGAAGCTTAAATATCTGTCTTCATACCATAATCAATAATGAGTATAAAACGCCATTTAGAAAGTGATCAATTGTAATATATTTGTTCTAGAATCTGTACTTTACTAAGAAAGTGTAATCCCAATATAATATACGTTACATACTCAATTAGATGAAACATTGAGGCAGACAGAAAGATGCATGAATGACATAAAAGAGCTAGATCCTACAAACATCAGATCAACACCCAGAGATTGTCCGTCCAGAGATCTCCCATACAGTATATTTAACACAGAATATACCAGTAGATCAGGTCCAGGTCAACAACAGATCAGTAAAACTAGACAGAGCGTACCACGTTCAGGTCAGTAGATCTACACACAGAGTGTACCAGGATCAGGTCAGTAGATCTACACAGAGTGTACCAGGATCAGGTCAGTAGATCTACACACAGAGTGTACCAGGATCAGGTCAGTAGATCTACACACAGAGTGTACCATGATTAGGTCAGTAGATCTACACACAGAGTGTACCAGGTTCAGGTCAGTAGATCTACACAGAGTGTACCAGGTTCAGGTCAGTAGATCTACACACAGAGTGTACCAGTGATCAGGTCAGTAGATCTACACACAGAGTGTACCAGGATCAGGTCAGTAGATCTACACACAGAGTGTACCAGGATCAGGTCAGTAGATCTACACACAGAGTGTACCAGGATCAGGTCAGTAGATCTACACACAGAGTGTACCATGTTCAGGTCAGTAGATCTACACACAGAGGGTACCAGGATTAGGTCAGTAGATCTACACAGAGTGTACCAGGATCAGGTCAGTAGATCTACACACAGAGTACCAGGACCAGGATCAGTAGTCAGTAGATCTACACACAGAGTGTACCAGGTTCAGGTCAGTAGATCTACACACAGAGTGTACCAGGTTCAGGTCAGTAGATCTACACACAGAGTGTACCAGGTTCGAGGCCAGGTCCTACATCACACAGTGCTTTTAGATGCAATTATGGTTCCTGGTTTCTAAGAAACAGGCTGTGAGACGCTATTTAACGGCCGGGGAAGTGAATCTGTTACTTGGAATGCTATAAAATGTAAACAGCTCCTCGTAGTTGGGTTCGCTGAGATGTGACCATGGTTTCTAGAATCTGATTGGCTTCTTGGTATGAGAAGGTAATCCGAGAGCTCGTCTAGTTTACTGATCTGTTGTTGAAGGCCATTGATTACAGCGAGGTGTTGATATTGAAAAAGTGATCCTATCAAATGATGTACTGGGTCTTATAACGAAATATCACAGGTCATCATGACCTGATGGGCACTTCCGGTCGAACTGAAGAGATCTGTGGTTGGAAGGCTAATCTTAACGCAAGGTAATTTGATTGGTGCATCGCCTCCGCCAGCTTATACTGCATTAGATTCGCACGTTGCATATTTTCAGATTATATCTATTTCGAAGAAGGTGGACATGTCTTCTACATTGAAATGTTATCGTTGAGAAGACAGCTATGTGTATACACCTCGAATGTTCAGTAATGCTTTTTCCACATTAAACTGACACGTCGTGTGATAACCAAAAGGGCTTTGAAAGCGGCGTAAAAACATACCTCTCATCTATTCATTCACTCACTTATTCACTCCATTGTTTGGCCACAGAACGCTCTTCAGTCACATATACGAAACATTAAAAAATGTGGAACAATGTTTTCCGTCACCAGTTGAAAATCAGAACAATAGTTGGCTAAATGACATAAAGTAAGAGTTCAAGGGACCAACTGTGGACATGTACATTTTCTTTAACATGATGAGAGAAATCTTTTCTTCTTCTGGGACCTAATCTCTGGCAATATGTGAGTGCTCAGCGATGATGTGTGCCAAGCTCACACCATATCGGCCGTCACCAAACAACATTCACACCATATTGCCCGTCACCCAACAACATTCACACTTTATCGCCAGTAACTCAACAACATTCACACTTTATCGTCAGTCACTCAACAACATTCAAACTTTATCGCCAGTCACTCAACAACATTCACACAATATCACCAGTTACCCAACAACATTCAAACCATATCGCCCGTCACCCAACAACATTCACACTATATAGCCCACCATTCAACAACCTTAAATGCGATTTGTGTAGGTTTCTGTCCAACCCTGCCACCAACTGACCGGTGTTTGGTAAATCAGTGTCCACTACAACTGTATGCACCCTTCACACTGACCGTACCACTACAGTTGTATGTACCCTTCACACTGACCACTACAGCTGTATGTACCCCTCACACTGACAACTACAGCTGTATCTACGCTTCACACTGGCCACTACAGCTGTATCTACCTTCACACTGACCACTACAGCTGTATGTACCCTTCACACTGACCACTACAGCTGTATGTACTATTCACACTGAACACTACAGCTGTATCTACCCTTCATACTGACCACTACAGCTGTATGTACCCTTCACACTGACCACTACAGCTGTATGTACCCTTCACACTG